TCACCACTTACCTATTGGATGTTTCAAATTGGAACTCTCAGAGACATCTTAAACTCATTATGTCCAAAACAGAACTCATGAACTTTCCCTCAAATCCTTCCCCCTCCTCCAGACTTCCTTATTTCTGCAGAAGGTACCACCCATCCTTCCAGGTTCATAACTTTAGCACTATTCTCACTCTTACTCATTCTATATATCTAATCCAGTGCCAATTATGGCTGTTTCTGCCTTTACACTTGACCCTACCACTCTATTCACAGAACAACAACTTAGTTCAGGCCCTCATTTCCTTTCATTCAAATTACTGTAATAGCCTCCTAATTGGTCTCCCAGCCTCCAATCTCTCCCTATTTTAGTCCATCCTACAATGCTGCCAAAGTAAGTTTCCTTATGCAGAGACCATGTGATTTTCCTCCTTAAAATCAACTTAAGTGGTATCCTATTGTCTCCTCAATCAAATTAAAAACTCCTCTATTTAGCTTTTAAAGCCTAGTGCAACCTGGCTCCAATCTATATTTCTAGCCATGGATATTACTTCTCCTGCCTTCCCTTTGTTCTTCACTCAAAACACTCCATCTCTCATCTCTGTGCTTATGCACTGGCAGTCATTCCTCATGCCTCAAATGTACTCTCTTCTTACTTAACCCTCACAGGTAGCTTCCCTTAAGATAGAGAATAAATATCATTTTCTGCAGGAAATTGGTTCTGACTCCCCCACCGCATGCTATTGCTCCTTCTTCCAAACTATTCTGCATCATGTATGTATATGCAAACATATTAACTCTATATTTATGCTGTATATATTTTTAGATAAACATTATGTATTTTTTTTGTCTTCCTCATTAGAATGTAACCTTGAAGGCAGGGGTTGCTTCATGCCTTGTATTTGTAGTCTAACACAATGCCTGGCATACAGTAGGCACTTAATAAATAATTGTTGATGGACTGCATTATGCCTTCTCACTCACATCCAAAGATCAGAAAAATATCAGATATTTATTTTTAAAAAAACATCACTGGAATACAATTTGATGGGACTGCCCATGTTACATACATTTTGGTATCTAAAGGAATTGTGTTCTGCATTTAAATAAGCTTATGAGGAAATGACCATGAAATGGAATGGCTTAGTATATTACCAACACAGTTCTTTGAACTAAATAATTTTAGCATGCCAATATAAAAGTTAAAGTAGAGTTCTAGCAAAAAAAAAAACCACCCCAAAAACCCAACTATCTTTACTATTACAAAATATTTGTCTATAAAAAGAAACTTAATAGTCACTGTAAAAACTTTTAGATATGAGCATTCTGGGTATGGGTTTGAGAACTACAAAGATGATTTGTTTAATCAATCAGAATGTGAATACTGAATTTTTTTAAGAGGCTTATAGAGAGCTCCTGACACCTATCAGTTTTAGAAAATAGAATTCCCTATTCTCATTGGAACATTTCACTGTTTCTCCTTATTGTAGCACTTAGCTTTATAAATAGGACAATCCAATTATGTGAGCTATTTAAAAAGAGAGAATATTAAAACCTATTCACATTTTGTACACTTTAAAATATACCTGCAGGAACTATAGAGCAGGGAATGAAGTTATTCAGAATTTTCATTAATTTGACTAAAATGAATTATCAGATAAACCATAACTTACTTAACATTCAGTTTGCACATATTAGAGGAAAATTTAAACATGAACAAATTCAGACACAAGTGAAATATAGTTAAGCACTAAACTGAAGGTTCATTGTACAAATGGAAAACGCTGGTCTTCTAAAGACATTACTAAAAAAGCAATGGCATGATAAGCACCAGGGAAAATCTGTACCATGAAGGACTGGGCACAGGTCTCAGCAGGTAAAACAGAAGAGGTGAGCATTCAGTTTTAAGATGCCATTGGAATTTTAACAACATTTCAATTCATCTTTGAATAGGCCTATAAACTAAATAGGCATGACAATTAATGCAGATTTAAACCAAGGCTAACACCTAAGGAATGTAACATTGTTAAATAATACTGCTGAATCCCTTCAAGGAAGAGGTGTGAATATCTGAGAAATGTCTCAACCCCTTTACTGAAAATTTCCTTCAGGAGAAAAACACAGAAAGGAAATACAAATTTATGGAAACCATCAAGTTTTTAAGTCTCATCCACATAGTATGGCATAGTAGATAGTCATATATGTAGTCAAGAAGAACTGGGTTCAATTTCTGTTCCTGATACATAATATCTCTGTGTCCTTGGGCAAGTCACTTAACTTTTAAGTGTCATAGGCTGAGACTATAACGAATTGTAATTCTTCCTTAGTGAGGAATATTTTCAAACTGGGAATTTTCCATACTGATGAAATGAGGTCTACTTATGAGGTCACCAAAGAAGGTCTACTTATCACACATGGAAAGTTCATAAGCAGATATTCCTTCAGGAAGACTTATACTAGTTTATTTTATTACCAGAGTCTCTGAGATAAAAATAAAATACAGGAGACTCACATTTATTGTTTCACAAATTTGCTCTGCGTTTTGCCAACCAAAGCTATCTTCCCAGCAATAAATCTATTTTTACCGAGCCCTCAAGTTGTACAGAGAACTCTGCAAAAGGGAGGAAGGGGTGGGTGGGTACATGTTACTAAACAATTCTGAATTCACATTGTTACCAGTTGAACTAGTTAAAGTGTGTGTGAGGGTGGGGGGAGGTGAGTGCTGCAAGCAAGACCAAAAGTCTGATTCACCTGTTTGCTGATCTTCCTTATCCTTAACTCTCCAATCCCACAATGAAGTTCTGAAAGGCGGCTGGAATGACTCCAAAGATAAACTTTGTAATTCTGCCCAGGGCCCTGGAGGTAGCCAGTGTTTCACAGAGAGTTAAACTCCTTCACAATGCCTGAGTTACTAGTGCTTAAATTAATCTATAAGGACTAATTTGAAATGCTGCATACCTCAGCCTTCCCTTATCTTCCTTCCCCTCCCCCTCATCAGATCAGTATAGTTGATTCTGGCTTGGTATCTCCCTGACCAATAGTGTCCCCTCCCCAACTGGGAGGACAGAGGAAAACAGAAAATGGACAAAGAGGCCTGAGATATAATCGTGTGTCTGCAAAGAGAGAAGTAAATTAGGCCGAGACTCTCAAATTATTCTTCTCTCACCTCCTCCCTGTTGTACTGGTGAAAATCCTCAGAAAGTCTAAAATTTTATCCCTATGAATGCTAAGGACTTCCTATATATTTCTTGGGATAGTTAAAGGATGCCATAAAGATTCACATATTAAAAAGAAATTCTTCTAAGCCAAAGCCCCAGATTCATAGTCAAAGAACCAGGGTTTGAATTCTGCTTATGCTTACCACCTTGTGCGGACCTCTGGCCAAATCCTTTGGTTTCCACATTTATAAAATGAGGGAGCTGGACCATATCTCTAAGGTCCTTTCCAAGCTTTAAACCCCTCGGTCATAAGTAAACCAACATTCCTTAAACTTCTTAAACTACTACATTATCATTATGTAATGGGGCCTAGCTATAACACCTCTTCCAGAGCAAAATCCAACCTATAAAAGCTGCTTCATCTTACATCTTATTTGTGGGGTATCAGTTATAGAAATGCCAAAGGGACCTCATTATAAGGCTCCTATGCACATGGCTCAGCCCTAACACATATAAAGATTTTTTTACTAAAGAGGAATATAAAAATCTCCTATAACACAGATTTAGAAAAAAAAGGAGGGGGGTTCTTACAACTTATTTCTTAAGAACTGGTTTGAATGGATGGCATGATATTCCTTGGTCCCTCGATACTGAAATTATAAAAAGCTGTATAGAGATTTTATTTTTCAAACTAAAAAATAAAATAAAAACAAAAACACATTCCTTTTATGAAGCTAAAAAAAGGCAACAGAAATAATAATATGTACAAGTATCACCAAACAGAAAGTTTTCTCCTCAACTTCCAGAAATGTATTTATTTTAAAGGACACATAATATAACCAATGCTTAAGACAGACATACAAAGGAGTAGATTAATTTGTGTGAAGTGTATACAGAAAATAAACCTATCTGCTCTTCCACAGAATTTATACTATATTTGATTTCTTTTATATATACATATATATATACCATATATATGTCATCAATTTTAATTACAGGTTTCTCTGTAATGAATATTCTATGTCTGGAGCTTTAGTCATTATTTATGTGGCTAAGTGAAGCAATAAAGTAAACATAGAAAACTTTGCTATATTCTTTAAACCTGCTACTATGTATATACAAAAAAATCTTAATTTTCCATTCCTGCATTATATTTATACACTTTAAATACTGAAATTTTGCCATATTACACTCAATACTAATGGTAATTAGAGAGCCATAAGTTGTTTATAATTGTTTTTAATTCCTTAGGGTAAAGCACAGAATCATAGTATCTTGTGAGTAGACCAGCTCTTTCTCACTGTAAGGACACCTTCTACAACATTTCTAAAAAGTGGTTGGTCAGTTAACCCCTGCTTTGCTAATTCCAGTGTCAGAGATCTCAGTAATTACAAAGGAAACTCATTCCATTTTATACATCTCCAAATGCTAAAATGTTCTTCCAGTATTTAATTATGATAAATTGGTATCTTTTTACATTTAAAGACATTGATATTTAGATTTTCCTTATAATTTTTAATTCTTAGGATATCATCAAATGGAGCTGGAATATTACATGATCAGTTATGCAGCCTATAAAAATGGTAAAGGAAAAGTAATCCATGTCTTACTCTATTAAAAATTATTTTAGTAATTTATGGTTTAGTTAACATGTATCTATTTTCTTGCTTTAAATTCACAAAGGACAAACAGCCTAAGTGCTTATCAAACCAAGACATGAGCAAAGGATGCCTAGTACCCTTAGCTATCACAGATTCTAAGAGGAACAGGTGAAAAAAACAGATTAAAAATTTAAACATAATAGGTAAAATTTTTAAAAAGCTTTCCTGAAAAATTGTAAAATAAAAAGAATACTTACCCCTTGGAGTCCTTGAAACTGAATTGAAGGTCTGCAAGGAGTTAAATTCTATTAAAAAAAAAGGAAAAAGAAACACAATCAGTTTAACCTGTGTTACAGTAACATAGTAATAATCTTTTAAAAACTTCAAATCCTATGCAAACTTGGTAAGGATATGTCTCACAAAAAAAATCTTATTATTATCTTACTTTTAACAGAATTATGAAACTAAGGTGACATGATAAGAGATATAGTACTGTTTCAACTATAAAACCTAAAAAGGGTTTCTGTTTTTTGTTTTTCTCCTTATGCCTCACTGAATTTGTCAATAACATGCCATAAAAATACATATTCTTGCTCAGTTTCTCAAAAATTTTAAGACTGTGGGGAAAAAAGAAACCAAAGAGAAATACAGAAATGTAGCTAGCTGGCGTAAATTCAGTAACTAAAATGTTTCAGAACATTTGGTGAAGACTCTTTGCACCACCTCCTTTCCCATTTTATCAGGGATGAAACCAAGGACAAGGTTAATATATTGGGTATTTAGGTCTCTATCTACCCAAGTATCTAATTCCAAAAGAACATATTTTCTGGTATAATATTTTCAGTTTTATTATAAAGCTTGTTTGTGCCCTTTATAATTTGAGTTGAATATTTGCTCAGAAAGTAATTTTACTTTTAAATATGTAATTTTAAAAGATTTGTTTCATTCTTAAATATTATCTATCTTGGGACCATTTTGGGGGGGGAGGAGATAAATGCATCTTCCAAAATTTTAGTTTTAAAAAAATTTATTTTCCTTCCACTTTTTTTTGTACTTCCCCACACCCCCCAATCAGGTTGTAAATTAAACGTCAAGAATTGTGTTTTAATATCCAGGAGTATTCATTCATTCAACAAACACTGTTAAACACTAAGTTGGTTGTACCTAATCCATGTTTGTTGAATTAAATATGTCTATTCCATGAAGTGAATCTACACCTCAATGCAGAGTAACAATTCTGCAAATGAGACTGAAGAATACTGAATACAATTTCTTGCTACAGTATTCACTCCTGGTACACATACAACTATACAAGCATGAACAAACACTTCTACGTTCTTTCTCATGGACAATTATTATTTTTTTTATTTACAGTTTACAAAAATTTTCTTCACCCTGAATGAAGTCTTAGTAATATGGGAGTGACAGTCAATTAAATAGGCATAGGTAAATTAGCAGTGCATGTTTCAAAGGGATATTATATTATCTTCATATAAAAACTAAGGGAAACACCTATTTATAATTCATGAAAATGGACAAAAATAAAGCTTTCTGGAATATTATTACATGGCTAGGTACTATAATAGTAATAAGCAACATTATATAGTGCTTATTCTGTGCTGGTCACTATTATTCATTTGATCCTCACTCACAACCTTCTTGGGAGATGTTATTATCCCCTTTTTACAAATTAAGAAACTTTGACAAAATGGGTAAGTGACCCACCCAGGGCTACACAGGTAGGAAGTATCTTGAGTTTGAAAACAAAAATATGAACACAATTACTACTTTTAGGCTTATCAACAAAAACCAAACTTCTTAATAGGCAAACTCATTTGCTGGTTTGGGACTTACGGGTGTAAAACTACTAATTTCAGGTTATCCATCTGTCTATCCACCCATCCATCCAACTTCTCCTACTGCCTTTCACCGTTAAACTGCCAGAACTGAGGTGGTCTATCCCTGCCTGCCTCTAACTTTGCCACTCCATTATAACTGCTAAGGTCACCCAGTGACCTCTTCATTTCTCACACTCTTAATCTTCCATGTAGAGAGATTATCACTTGTAATCTATACAGGTAGTTAGCTAGGTGGCTTAGTGCACAGGGTATTGGGTTTGGAAGCCAGAAAGACCTGAGTTCAAATTCTGCCTCAGACACTTATTATCTGCATGACCCTAGACAAGTAGACAAGTCACTTAACGTCTCAGCCTCAGTTTCTTCATCTGCAAAACAGTAATGATAATTATAGCACTTCTCTCACAAGGCTGTTGTAAGGATCAAATGAGGTAACATGTAAGTGTTTTGCAAACCTCAGAGCACTACATAAATGTTAGCTATTATTATTACTGTTATTGGGTACTCGACACTAATAGATATCACTTTCTTTTTGAAACTGTCTTGTCTCTTGGCATTTGGCCCTACATCCTTATATGGCTTTTCTTCTCTCTCTGCTTCTTCTTCTTTCTCCAACTCTTAACTGTAGTTATCTCAAAACTTCCATCCTTGGTCCTTTCTCCTCATTCTATATTTGTTCCATCCATCCATCAGGAAGTTCATTACTCTTATAGTTTTAGCTACTACCTTTAAATAATTTCCCCAAAATCTACATCTCCATTCTGATTCTCTTATCTCTGTAATCTTATAACTCCAAATGCCTAAAAGACATCTCTGTAAGTACATGCCAATTTCTCCTTATATGAAATTTTGAAAATTTACTTTCCCCCTACCCCTCCATCAAAAGAGGAACCCTTTCCCTATGTCTACCAATGAAGACTATGAGCATTCTGGTCCCACAGACTCACAACTTCAGACTTATTTTTGGTCTTATTTCTCCTTCAATCCCCACATCAATCAACAAAGTATTAATACTTAGGCCCAACACCATTATCAAGTACTATGAGAGATACACAAATATGAGATATGATTCCCTGGCCCTTAGTAGTTTATGATATAGAACAATGATGTATTAAACTGTGTACCAATTATAAAGCTAGTAATTCTGAAATGGGAGAGAACAGAGCAAGTAGGCTACAAGAAAGAAGAAGGAACTGAGCTGGACTCTGAAGGATGGATAACAGGGAGTGGAGGGAAATAGCATGAGCAAAATCAAGTCAAGAATGGGTATGGTGTCTACAGGGAGCAGGATGGGTATAATGTCTACCAGAAAGAAACAAAGTTTTGAATTGGGAAATGATGGGAAATAAATTGATAGGTAGACTGGATATGAAATTATGGAAAGTTCCGGAAACGGGGTAGGGGAGTTTAAATTAAATGAATCAGACAATAGCCAATCACTGTAGGTTCTCGAACAAGGGGACACTTTCAGAAGATAAAGTGGATATTGGAAGAAATGGTCAATCACTCTGGATTACTGTTGCAGTGATCCAGCTGTGAGGTGATGATGGTCTGCAGTAAGGCAGAAGCTGTGGTAATGAAGGAGGGTTAACTTCTGCACATTACAAAGGGGGGAAAATGAAGAATTATATTGAAAAACTGGGTTCATGGGATCATACATTTTAGAGCTGGAAGGGGACTCAACCCCTTCAGTCCACAGATGAAACAGTCCCAGAAAGGTGAAGTGATTTGTTTTCCTTCGCTTTTGTCCCAGACTGTTCCCTTTCACCAGAAGAGTTCCTGAGCCCTCTTGGTCAATCCACCTTTATCACTCAATTCTCTCATGACTCAATCCAATATTTAGCCTTCTAAGAAAACTTCCCAGACTATACTCACCCCATGCTGATCACTCCCTAGCTTCTAGTTGCTAAGCACTAGAGAGACAGATTGGTGAAGTGGAATAAGACCAGGACTTTCCCAGTCAGAAGACTTAGAAATCTCTTCTTTTAACATTCACTAGTTATTTGCCTAATAAATCATTTAACTCCTTTTATTTAACCTTAGTTCCTTCATATGTAAAATACCTAGAGAACTTAACTTACAGGGTGATTGTGAGAATCAAATTAGATAATGCAAAATCTCAAAGTGCCATACAAATGCCAGCTATTATTACTGTTCATTATTATTGCTTCGTAATTTCTTCCATGATGTGTGACTTGACTCTCTAGTGATAATGTAAGCTCCTAGAAGGCAGGTACTGTGTCTTCCATTTCTGTGGTTATATTGTCCTCAGAACACACAGCAGTTGCTTAAAATATAGTTGCTGAACACATGAATTTTAGGGTTGTGAGCCAACAGAATGCTTTGCCTAGAAATTTGTAAGAAGGCAGTTATCTTTCCAGAATGGTTCATCACAGAAATAGAAAGATGGAGAAAAGAACTTTTTCATCATCATTTTGGTATTTTGATTCTAAAGAAAGATGACTTTTATATAATCATTACAATTTTTCTCTAGTGTAGCTAAAACACTTTGACATGGAAAAAAAAGAAAGATGCAAGAGGCACATCTCTGTTGCTAAATATAATTCTAGTAATAAGGAATGGTCTACTGTAATGGAACATACTCCTAAGAGATTGTATTCTCATTTTTCACTGAAAACCTGAAAATCTCGCAACTAATAAAGGATCCTTGCATACAAATTCAAGTATGCCAGAATAAAAGTTCTTCACTAAAAAGCTACAACAGAAAATGTCTACAAGCAGAATGACTTAAAATAGTCTCAAATATCATACTGTTTTAAATTCTGATTCCAGACTCTCATACAATCCTGGACTGCAGTTCTTGAATGCCATAAAAAATGCAACAGGAAGAGACAGGCAGAACACTCTATAGCACATTTTCTATATCTAAAAGCTCTCTGTACTGAAGGGACAGATATTAAGACCACTAGTCTTGAGAATGCACACCATTATAGTAAAATCTTTGGATAAGAATATTTTTAGGTTTTTAGCCTAAATCTAAACAAACATGAATTGACTGCAGTGGTTGTAAGATAAAGAAACACAAATTAACTTCATGCATATTTAGTTGGCCAGAAGGAAATGGCATATTTCAAAATGATGAAACCACAAAGGAAATTTACGCTGAAAATTAGTTAAATGTTAAGAAAGCATTTAAACTGTCAAACTATACCTAAATATCTGTACCAAGTAATATTTTCAGAGATAAAAGTAGTTTTGCAGGGTTCAGCATCTGAAAAAAAAATATCGATCTTATATCTATCTACAAGACAGACAAGAAACTGAATTGCAAATTAGAGTTAAGGAAACTCCTTTTGCCAAATGTTCCAACTGCATGATAAATGAAATGTTATAGACTTGTTATTAATGCTCCTAAACTATTCCTCAACCTCATACAGTCAGAGCAGTGGGGAACATTGCTGGGGGGGGCCAGAAAGCCTCCTTGGGAG